ACTTCCAGCCTGTCATTGTAGATGAGAAGGGCAATGAGATAGAAGGTGAATGTAGTGGGTACTTATGTATTAAGCACTCATGGCCTTCAGCTTTCCGTACTCTATATGGTGATCATGAAAGATATGAAACCACATATTTCAAGCCATTCCCTGGTTATTATTTTACCGGGGATGGCTGTAGCAGGTAATTAATATTGTTATGTAAATTGTTTCATCATACAAACTAATTACCGATATGTATCAATTGACATTGGCATATTGAGTTGATGGTTTTGGAATCCCACTATTTGTTTTTTGAAGTCATTTCTTGTATGTCCCAGGGATAAAGATGGTTACTACTGGCTCACTGGAAGAGTGGACGATGTCATCAATGTCAGGTAACTCCTGATACCACATTATTCAGTGATCAGGTTTATTCTAGAAAATTCGCAGGATTTTGAGGACCTTTTATTCCACTTTTCATGGATGTTTGTATTTTGTGCAGTGGTCACCGTATTGGAACTGCTGAAGTGGAATCTGCCCTAGTTTCACATCCTCAATGTGCTGAGGCTGCTGTGGTTGGTGTTGAGCATGAGGTATAATGGGGCCTCCCACCTCACTTTTATGCAGCACTACTTTTGTATCCTCGTGATTACAAGAAATGCCAGCACTACTTTTATGCAGCACTAGTTTCACATCTTCATAAGTTTCTGTTTTTTTGTTCAGGTGAAAGGGCAGGGCATTTACGCATTTGTTACATTGGTTGAGGGTGTTCCTTATAGTGAAGACCTTCGCAAAAGCCTTGTTATGGCTGTCCGTAGTCAGGTTAGCTCCCCAACTGTGTCTGCTTCTGCTAGAAACTGTGGCCAAACTATTCCAAGAATAATTGACTTGATGCAATCAGTGATATATTTAGCATACACTTGTTAAACTATGAAGAAATTTTGGTTCCCAATGTTTAAAATGTTAATTGTTATACTCCTGTCAAAAAAAGATGTCAATATTATACTCACTTATACGATCTGGATTCAAAAGTTAAAACATTGGTGCGAATTTATTTAGTTCTATGTTCCACCACTACATGCATATTTGGTGCGAATTTATTTATTTCCATGTTCCACCACTATGCATTCTATAATTATGGATTAATCATGAATTCGACCCCTTCAATAATTTCAGATTGGAGCATTTGCTGCCCCAGATAAGATTCACTGGGCACCTGGACTCCCTAAAACAAGAAGTGGAAAGATAATGAGGAGGATTTTGAGAAAGATTGCTTCAAGGCAACTCGATGAGCTTGGAGACACCAGCACTCTTGCAGAACCAGCTGTTGTAGAACAGCTTATTGCCCTTGCTGACAAATAGAACATTCAAATTTAGAGTTATTTCAGTGAATCTTGAAATGGTGGCTTCGTTTTGGCGCTTTCTCACAGTAAAATTCTTTTGGGCTGTAGGTTCAGAAGTTCTTGCTATCAATCTGCTTTGCAGATTATTGCTGGTTTTGTTGTCGTGATGCTGTCATTCTTTTAGCTTTTTTTGTACCATAGCCTTTGTTCCATTATGATCTAATAGGAGAGTGATTCAAATTTTTGGATACACATTTTTGTGCGGAATTATTATTTTTAACCAATTTCAGTTTAGTAATAAAGTTTGTCCTGCAAGGCTTGCGTCTTTTTTGCAATTATTGAGAACAATTGTAATTGATCTTTCTATGTTTGTGTTGTGAAATGTGAGGGTAAACAAGTTTTTATCGTTTGATGATATTAAAATACAAATAACTTATTTTTCAGTATTCCGTTGTGCGACATGTATCAAATACAATCCTAAAGGTTGTATTTATAGATTTACAAATTAAATTATTCACCCTTAGATTTATAGCATAGGGATCTTCAAAGTTTGTGTGCAAGGGCTCTGTTTGGCTAGACTAAAACATTTTTATGAGTAATAGAAAGTGATTTTCCAATAGATAAGCTTTCCCTTGTTTAGTGGAATGGAAATCACTTGTCTAAATCACCCTCTCAAACTTTTTTTTTTTTTTTTTTTTTTTTGAGAGCCCATAAGGACGGGTAATGATATCTATTCCCGGATCCCTAAAATCGGGAGGAAAACTTTAACCAGCTAAGCTCTCCCCACTCTCAAACTATCAAACAAAAGAAAACCAAATCCAAATATTAATTTCTTTTTGCCATAAAGTACCTAATCACGTCCATTTAAAAAAAAAAAAAAAAAAAAAAAACCTCTTAGATAACACCCAACATCTTTTTTTCTCTTTGATAAAATGAGAAAAAAAAATATTATCTTTGATAATCTTGTATTATTAATTACAAAAAATAATAAATATTTTAATAAAAATCTTAAAAAAACCCAACCCCTCACCACCACCCAGCCACCCTCAGCTCCCCCACCCCAGGTCCACGATGCCCATCCCCCCATCGAGCGACCCCCACCCCCTGCCATTCCCCATTCGGCACCCACCCCCTCCCTTTCCTTACCCCAAAAATGGCCCCCCTCAGGCCCTCCTCGAAACAACCCTCCTCTTCTGTTCCCGACCCCCCCAAACCCTAAACCCCCACCTGAAACCACCAAAAAAAAACCTATTTTCCTGGTCGTTTAAAAACCCTAAACGGGTTTGGTTTTCTGGGTGGTTTTAGGTGGGGATTGAAGGGGCCGGAAACAGGGGAGGGGTCATTTGCGGCGGTGGGAAAAGGTAGGGGGTGGGGGAGTTGTGTTTTTTAAAAAAAAAAATATTTCTAATATAATTTAATTATTAGTAAAATTAAAATTTAAAAAAATAAAAACCTCTAAAATTTATTAAAAAAAAATATCATTAATGTTATGAGCAACTTAATATAGTAATAAAACATTGCTAAAGATGATAAAAGAAAAAAAGAATTAGTAAGTATATATCTAATGTGATTTAAAAAAAAAAAAGAAAAATCATACTACTCCCTTTGTTTTTTTTTTTAAATGCATCATTTGTATTTGCGTGAAGCTTTAGGATAATTTATTTGGTTTTATATTTTATTGTGCAAATGGGTAAGTGGAGGATTAATTTATTTTACTGAAAGTACATTAGGGGCCATGAAAAAGAGACTATGTAGAAAAAAGAGTGTGTGTAAGAGGGAATATTATTAGGTTATTTTAGGGGAGAGAAATAATATAATATTTTGAGTGGAGTTTTAGGAAAGAGAGCGAAATACAATAATATATCATATAAAATTATCAAATATAAAAGTGAGGAAATTTTGTAAAAAATTATCCCCAAATACACCACTTTTCTAATTAACCACATTTTTTTTACAAAAAAAAAAAAAAAAAAAAAAAAAAACTACCTCCAAAACTCAAACCAGTAGGTATCAGCACCCCCTCCTCTAGTCCGGCTTGTATCCCGATTAAGAGTCCACGTGTTACCACCTATTGGTCAAAATTAACAAAATTAAATTTTTTTTTTAAAATATCCCCAACCTATCTACGGCAGCCACCCGCCTCCCCCTTCTCCCGCCACTCCACCGGGAACAGCCAATCCCACCCAAACCAACCACTTGCCGGACCACCTCCACCCCAACACAGCCACCTCCAGCCAATATCCTTACCAGTGGACCCCACCGAGGCTGTGATGAATTTGAATCGTTTAAACTTTTAAAGTAATCAAATTCGATTTGGTTTTCTGGGTTTTCTGGGAAATTGATTTTCTTTTCCAATTGGTTTAGTTTACCGCCATTTGTAATTGATTTTCTATTTCTTGAAAATTCTCCCCCAAATTGTTTGATGAAATGCACATCTGAGCCTCCTCCATTGAAGCGCACTCTGAGTTCTCCATTACAGGGGAGCTTTCTCTCACTCCATTGAAACAGTTTCTGAGGTAGGATGAGTCGCCGGCTGTAGGACACCCTAAATCTAGGGTTTCAAGGAGAGAGAAAGAGGAAATATCAACGTCAAAATTAGAGGGGGCTTGGTGGCCGGGCGAGCAGGGGTGGGGCTTGGTTAGGTTCGCCAGAAGGGGTAGTGGTTGGAGGTGGCTACTTGGGGTGGATTTCGCCGGAAGGGGTAGTGGTAGGGGTGGCTGCTGGGGCTGGGGTTGGGGTTAGGGGGATTTTTCGTTTTTTTTTTTTTTTAAGGGTGGTAACATGTGAATTTTTAGTCAGAAAACAGGCCAGAATACAGGAGGAGGTGGTGATACCTATGATTTTACGTTTTGGAGGTGGTTTTTTTTAATTTCGTAAAAAAAAAGGGTGGCTAATTAGAAAAGTGGTGTATTTGGGGTGGTTGTTTTTTACAAAATTTATTAAAAGTGATGCATTTAAAATAAAAAATTCATAAATGGCATGTTATGTCTTTAAAAAAACATAAACTATAATAAATGAAACCGTACATCGTACAAAGTTACATCTCGTAAATAAATTAAACAACATTCACATGACTAGTGTTGCTTCATCTCATGGCATCATTGGCATGTATCAACTGAGTTGAGTCCGTCTTGGGTTGGAGTAATGGAAAATACGTTTGTTTTGTTGTGTTATGCGCTAAGATCATATCATTAGGATTATCCAACTAACTCCAATGACTAGTGGTAAAGATTGTACGTTTCAACCTTGAGGTTAGGCGTTTTCTGTCATCTCTCCTTCTCGGCAACGTTATTTATGGCCAGGGTCAATTCATTTCCATATTCACATCTATTGAACCATTGTAGTTCTTCTCTACGTTGGCAAAAATACTTTCGATGTTTGCTTGTACTTTCGCTTAATGAGTTTTCCTCTTATTTTTCCAAGACCTGGATTAGCGGATAAGACACTCCCTTCCTGGTCTTTAAATACTTGTTCTTATTTTAAATACTTGCTCCAATTCTTCTAGGCACATATGCCAATGCTAATCTTTGATCAATAATATCTTTAATTATCAAGTATAAATTCTAACAATTAAAAATTTATAATTCATTCATTGCGACTATTCAAACAAGTAACCACAAGACTATTTTTTCTTATGTATAAATTATATTCATTAGTCAAAGTAAGACAAATAAATAGTGCAAAAAGTAGAAATGAATAAGTATTTAAAATGGAGAGAGTAAAATGATAGCATCAAACATGAACACATTTTTAAACCCATTCTCAGGAAAGAGAGCATATTACTCAAATTTGGGCAAAATCAAAATGAATGCTACTCCCACCACAACACGTGGTTAAACAGCTCGCAATTTATGGGTAACATATTGGTTATTGTAACAAAAGATAAAATATCAACAGCTTAGACAAATATTAATTCGCCACCAAGATCATTAATAGTCTAATCCTCAATGCTGAAAATGTTTCACGTCCAGTATCAAATATTCCCACCAACTAAAAACCCTAAAGATACTGCTTTGCTGAAGATGTTGACAATCTTCACTCGTACCCCAAGCCTGCATAAATTAAACAAATAAATTATGAAAGTAATTAAGTTATTGCTTACATTACATCCTGTCTTAAAGTGTAATTAATTGATCAAATCTAATTGAATTTCCCAGATTGAGGGCGGGGGCTTCCACATGTAGTTATAACACGATTAAGCATATATAGAGCCAGCAATTTAAACAAAAAAAAAAAAAAAAAAAAAATGGCAACAGTTGGGTACGTTGCACATAAACAAACTTTTAGCTAGTGGCAGGACCAAACATCACAGACAAGGGCAACAATGAAACACTTGGTTGATAAGGTAACCCTTTAAGAAGATTTTTTCCATGAGGTAACTAGATGGCGAGTTTCGCACACAGCCTAATATAATCCTTCTCAAGACCATTCTTATTCAGTTTTATACATGCTTAATGAGTTTCCTCTTATTTTTCCTCTGAATCTATACTAAAACAGCCAATTTGAGGATGTAGAGATGAAACACTCCATACTGTAGAAGCAATTATAATTTTTTGGTAAATCATTCCCAAATCAAAAAGAGATAGACTGGTACAAGAACATCAGCATTTCAGCAAACATATCTTGAATGTCCATTATTTTCAAAGATAATACCCACTAACCTCCAATTACACAATCTTCCAGTGTGCATGCATTTCAACACAAAAAACCACAGAACTCTAGAATAAATCTCACAATATTAAGGCACTAATGGGGCAAGAAAGCCCACTCAGCCGATCAATGGATCAACTTTCTCTTTTTGAAATCATTTTCTTATCCACATGTTCAGCTGAAGGGTTAACCATAGACTATATGTACTATGACTCTGACAGCATGCATAATGCAGCAGTTCATTGACTGACAAGATGCTGGAGGGCACTCATCCCCTACGCAAATACAAAAATCTTACTTTCCTTGCATGCTGATGCATAACATATTTCTAATATCTATGCTGTTCGCATAAATGTCCCTTAAAAATTACCCCTTCTTTTCAGGTTATCCTTACAAGATTTCCCCAATTCCATTTTTAGTAAACATATCCTCTACAATCCCTTTCTTCCTTATTTAATCGCACATACTAAAAAACCAAATATACCAGCCCACTCAACACAACTGTTAATAGAGTGAAAAAAAAAAAAGGTAATCCAAAATCCATAAACATTTCTTCCTTATTTAATCGCACATACTAAAAAACCAAATATACCAGCCCACTCAACACAACTGTTAATAGAGTGAAAAAAAAAAGGTAATCCAAAATCCATAAACAAAACCTTACAGCAGAAACTCAAGAATTTCACAAAATTCAAACCCATCATATTAATTATTATATTGATATATTACAGGACACAATCAAGTATACGTGAGTGATCAAACAAAATCTCTCACTAATAGACAAACAAATATCCACCTAAAGTAATGACTTGCATGGGCAAAAAACTCGTGTAGCTGTGCAATGTTGTCATTTTTTCAGCCAAGGAAAGTTCCACATAAAATAACACAAAAAATCTACAGCTCTGATAACTTTAAAAAGCACCAAAACATAATGTGCTGTAAAGTATAACACCATAACCTTGGAAACATACGGCCATACTGAAGTTATGTTCAAACAAAGAATGAAAAGCAAGCCGAATAGCAAAAACCAAAACAATTGACCAGCTGAAGTTCAAGACATTCAGCAGCAACTAAATCACAGCCTAAATTTCATCCACAGCCAATAGAAGAAACTCACCATGCTCTTAACGAGCACCAGGTGCATTCATTGCCAGAAGCATCTGATTTCCGTTGGGCAGGTAGGTCACATTGGAACTCCTTCCCATTGTTGCTGCATTCTCCTTCATAGCTTCAATCTTCCTCAACTCAATCAGGCCCATTCCCGCAGATGCAGTTGCATCAGAAATCAATTTAGCAGACTCGCTTTCTCCCTCGGCCCTAATGATTGCCGCACGCCTCTCTTGATCAGCCTTCATAACCACATATTTGGACCTCTCAGCCTCCTGCTGTGCCACCTGCTTCTGCTCAACTGCTCTTGAGAATTCTGCACCGTATGAGAGGTGAGTAATTGCCACATCATCCAGTATAATGTTGAAATCCTTTGCCCTGCACATAGTAAAAAAAAAAATATTTAAAAAAACTCAAATTATTACAAAGTGTTTCAGCTAAGATTTGGTAGAAGAATATTAAACAGAAACTGTATGGATGCAAACAATTAACCTTTTTTGTAAAAAAAAAAAAAAACTAGCACCTTAAGATTGAATCTTAGACAATTAAAGTGGTGCTTCTAAGCAAATAATTCCCAATTCGTCAACCATCCAGAATCCACAAATCCTCTCAACCCCCTCAGTTGTTCCAAAAACCAATTATTTTGCACTTATACAACCAGAAGAATAACACCAATTTCATGAAGAGAAAAGGAGCCGTCAATTTACAAAATCAAAGCACATTCACCTCAAAAATGTTAACATGGAAAAAAATTTACACACGGATAAACCAAACCTGCAGCAAGAAATCAGAATGGGTAATCGCATGAACTTCAAAACCCCAAAATTCCAAAAGAGGAGGGTAATCCACTAATCACGTTTGTGTGTGTGTGTGTGTTGGGAGAAGGGGGGGGGGGTGCTTAGGAAGCACGCAGATTCATGAATTCATTCTGTTCACCAAATTACAATTATCCAAACCTACTAGCCTTTCTCCAGAATTACCTACATTTTACAAACTTAGTGGCACTTATGTAAACTTATTTTAATTACTAAATTGAGCTCTGCATTACTCTCATCAAAACTTATTGGACCTTTTTCCAGCGCTTATTTGCCGTTATTCCCCTATCTACACATTATTGACCTTCAGAAATTTTCAAGGTATGGTCATGCAATCGTGCAACCAACGTATCAACCAAAATGTACACCAGAAATACACAGCTAGTCTGGGATCAATCAAAATGTACAAGTCAGAACTTCAAATACACAATCAGCTAACTACTGCAACATAATAATCAGGGAAACAACAGCAATACCATAAAATTTCTACTAAATGCATCTTTATTACCAATTTAACACCAAAAATTTTCAAATCATCAAACAAATAGAAGACTAAGGAAACAATTTATGCGCTGATATAAACCCTAACCCTAGATATCCACAATAAAAATTACACACAAAAAAAAAAACAAAATGAATACCTCTTAATCAAGCTGTCTCTGACAAGAGCAGAAACCCTAGGACGATCAGTAAGAAGCTGGTCAGCATTAAACTGAGCAACAACAGCCTTCAAAACTTCATTACCAATAGAAGGAAGAACCTTCTCATCATACTCCAACCCAAGAGTCTGAAAAATATGAGGAAGACGATTCTGATCAGGGCGAGACAAAACCCTAAGAGTAAGATTCACCATCTGAAGATCCTTAGTACCAGACATTGATGAAAAATTGTGAGGTCGAGTACGAATATCGAAGATGTAAGGACTCTGGAGCCATGGAATTCGGACATGAGTACCTTCGCCGACAGTTTCTTCGAGAACCCCGCGAAAACGGTCGAAGATGACGGCCTTCTCGCCACCGTCAACGGTGTAGAGGGCGGAATTGGCGAGGGCGCCTAAGGCACCGAGGCCTAATGCTGTTTTAGCGACGCTGTTGAGGATGTTGGCAGCTTGCTGGCTTCCCATGGCAGAAAAATGGAGGAGAGAGAAAAATGCAAGTTGAGTTCTTAGGGTTTAAGGGTTGAAAAGGGGGGAAATTGTGATGAATTGATGAAGTAGGTAAAACCCTAAGGAATGCGTGACTTGAGAAAGGGGAAAGTGGAAATGCGTGAGGATTTTTTTTTTTTTTGTCTATTGAGTTGGGCTTTATTCATAGGGGTTAAGCAATCTTAACATGGATCGAGGGTCTGGTATCCAAACTATTATCGTGACGGGATCAGATTATTGATAACCAACACTAAAGAAGTAAAGATGATACTCGTATACATGAAGCTAATTACAACAAATCTTGGGAAGTTCTTAAATCCTATATCTATCGTATATATTCATATTGAATATTTATATTTAGCCATTCCTTTCATTATTATGTAAGGAACGCTATGTTGAATAACATTTCTTTCATTTCTATACACAAAAGTAGGTTTTATTTGCTTTTCTTTTGACAAGGCGATCTAATAGAATGGTGGCATTATAAAAAAAATGAGTATATATGTTAAGAACTCAACGATTTTATGAACTAAAATTAGAAGTAGGGCTGTTAAACGGGTCGTGTCGTGTCGAGTTTGTGTTCGTGTCAATAATAAACGGGTTGATAAACCCTTGACTCAAACCTAACTCATTTATTAAACGGGTTGAAAATCCTTGACCCAAACCTAACCCACTTATTAAACGGATTACCCGAGTTACCCACTCACTTTATTAATTCTTACAAGAGATTATAGAAGACTTTAAAGAGAAAAAGTAGTAAAATTTGAACGCCTAAACTAATAATTTTTGCCCACTAAAAATTTGACTTACATATTTTATATTTATACTACAAAATTATGCAGTTAGGAGGGTTAGTAAGATTGGCATAAAAAAAATTCAGTAATCTTAACTACTCTCTCCGTCTCATTGACAGGGTAAAGTTGTATCACCTAATCAAAAGTAAGTATTCATAAAACCACTAACTAAAATAGATAGGAAAGTAGGGTCGATTTCACAGGAAAACATCGTTCTTCTATTCCTAATTAATTATTATAATCTAAATTATCAAGAAACAAATAAGGTTTGTATGAATTAATCTAAGGGAATAATCAATAATAAAAAGCCTAGGGTCACAGGTTCACCAATAATTAATACTTCAGGATAAAACATAACAATCAACAATTGATATTGCAAATAACATGATTAACATGCTCTATTAACCAACATAAATCTACCAGGCTCTCGCAATTTACTAGACTTAAGTTCCTATTGAAAATAGCCTTTAACATCAAATTAACATCTGCTCGATTCATCAATTCAATATTGTTATACATTTACAATCAAATCACATCTGTTCGATTCATAATTCAATTGCAAAGAATTAAAACAATTCAATAAGAAATTATCATGCAATATCAATAGTCAACCAAAATAAATTATCCCTTCATATTAATTATGGATCCCCCAAAAACCCTAGAATTAAACTACTCACACATATTTAAATCTAAACTAATCAAAGCAATTAAAGAAGACATGATTGAAATCAAAGCAAAAATAAACAAAGCAATTAAAATCAAAGCGATGAATAAAGCAATAAAAGAGACGAGAAATAATACCGAATGAAGGAAATATGAAATTGCACTAAAAAAGTTGAGTTGAACAATAATCTCTCACTAAAACCTCTCTAAAACTTAAGAATGAAATTTGCAATCTAAAAAACGTAGCTAATAAAAGCTTACAAAAGAGTTTAAACACTAAACCCCAAATTACCAAAAACGACAAGTCTTAAAACGCTTAGGAAAAACACACGCCCGATCGGGCCCGCCTTTTTCTTCTATCTGCTTTGCTGAGCATCCACCCGATCGGGCCATAGGTCGGCGGATTGGGCCCGATCTTTTTCTTGGCTGAGTTCCTCTTTTGTGCTTTAAATACTTGTAGCCCAATTTCTTCTCCCTTGATCTATTACTTGGACCGATTCCACGAACCAAGCCCTTAGTCACCGAAATCCTCGGTCTTGGGCTACAAAAGATGTAATACCCGTATTTTTATACATATATTAATTTAAACTATTATTTTATGAAGTATTTAACTAATTCGAAATGAATTATTTATGCTATTTTAATAATTTAAAATGGTTTATTTAAATTAAACGTCCATTTTTATTTATTTAATTGCTTTGAAAATATTTTATTTTATTATTTAAAAACTTTGAAGCATAATCTCTTATAAAAAGAAGTTTTAAAGTCAATGGAATTTTAAAGAAAGTCAAATGTCATTTTGAAAAGGAGTAGGAATCATTAAGGGTAGAAAAGGAATTTAATTTAGGAGGGTTTTGATAGAGGGTATAAATACCCATCATATGAGCAAATTAAACTTTGCCCAAGGTGGAGAATACCCAAAGGTAAAATCTCTTTCTATATCCTCTTATTTTTCTCTCTCCCTTAATTTTTCCCTTCTCCCTTACAAACACTCACACACACGCAAACTAGGGCGGCCGGCAGCCACCACCACCACTTCCCACCGGTTGGCCGCCGCCACCAGCAATAACCGGCAGCAGCAGCCGCCGGCGTGGAGAGCGGAAGCAGCCCCCTCCCCCGTGCATGCGTGCGTGCGATTGTGTGTATATAAAAAAAATCTTCTCTTGTTTTAATTTAATCCAACCTTGATTTAATTATTGATTTTGGTGTGTGTGATGTTTTTATGATGTTTTAATCATGATTAATATGTATATAATTTTCAGATTTGGTTTTTGAATTAAAAAGCCCCAAATTGAAAACCCTAGGTTTCTAAATTAATGTTTATTTATGGAATTTGATTGTAGTTGATTAAAAATATTAAAATTAATGCTTTTAAATTAAATTACAGCAAGTTTAAGAGTTTTTATAATGCTGGAATTTTTATGTAGTGGCTAGAATCATGTTTCTTGAAAGGATTTATAATTACCCATTAATTGGGAATAAAAGTAGGTGGTTTAAATTAATTTTCAGCTTCTTTTAAAAGGTATAAAAGTGTTTTAAGTAGTGCAGGTGAAAATTTATTATGAATAGGTATTAATGTCTCTTTGTAATTTTGGGATGTAGGAGACTTCCAAGTGAGTAATTTTGTGTAGTCGTGGCGATTTTGAGATCATATTCGAGGTACGTTCGCGTACTCGATAATTATTTAAATGTGTAAAAGTATGCTAGGCTTTGTTTAATTAGTTCTAAGTTAGTTTCATGCTAGGAATTGGTGAATTGAATTGGATTGTTGAATTGAAATGAATTTGGTGAATTATTTATAAAGCATGATTGGTTGGAATGATTAATTTATTGGAATTGGTGATTATAGAATATTGTTATTGAACCATACTTTTATTATTGGCATGATTGAGAGCATGTTTAGTTAAACTAAATGTTTAATTGAGTTTGGAACATTGAAAGGGAATTTCATTATGGTTCATGTTTTGGGTAAAAATACCCAGGCCACGTGGCCCAATCAGAAGGTGACACGTGTCACCTTAGGAGAGGTTCTAAATGAACCAATCCCCATTTGACACGTGGCACTCCTAGTCAGTAGGGAAAAAGACTGCCTTTGGGCCCAATTCCCGTGACCGCCTATTTTTCCTAGGTTTTCGCACTACTAGAAAACAACCAATCAACGACGGAAAAAATTCGTCGGAAAACCCTGAAATTCCGTCGGAAATGCCCATTTCTGACGGAATTCCGTCGGAAGGCACCGTCACATTACTAACGGTCCATAAGATGGCTGCTCGAAGATTGAAATTTTGTTTCATCGAAATATCGTACGTAGTCGCGCCAACTTCCCACAATAGTTTCAACTCCTCTATCAACGGTTGCATGTACACATCCAAGTGTCTCTTAGGGTTTTTAGGACCAGACACGAGCAACGAAAGGAACATGAATTGTCTTTTCATACACATTGAGGGAGGTAGGTTATAAGGGGTCAAAATGACAGGCCAACAAGAATATTGTCCCCCAAACTTACCATGAGGAGCAAAACCATCTGTGCACAAGCCAAGTCTCACATTACGAGGCTCAGAGGCAAACTCTGGAAAGCGACTGTCAAGATGTTTCCAAGCTTCACTGTCACTAGGGTGTGCCATTGTGCCTTGAACTAGGAGATTTTTCGAATGCCATGTCATTTCCTCCGAGATGTTCTTGGTTGCAAACAGTCTTTGCAACCTGGGTGTGATCGGGAAATAAAACAGAACATTCAAAGGCACTAGGCTACCTTTGGAAGTCTGCTTTTATCGATCGCTGCCACACACCCTACATGCAGACAGATGAGCATCATCCTTCCAAAACAACATACACCCTTTCGGGCATGCATGAATCTTTTGATGAGACAGTTCCAACCCCTTCACAATCTTCTTCACCTCATAGAATGTGTCGGCCATATGGCTGTTGTTCGAAATCGCTTCACTTAGCAAAGAAGCAAACCCATCAACACATTTGTAAGGCAAATTATACTCACACTTTAGGCTAGTGATTCTAGCGGCCATCTTTAACACAAACAAAGAACTCCCTTCGTATAATGGCCTTTCAGAATCCTGCAACAAATCCAGAAAATGCTTAGCTGTTGCATAAGGCTCCTCCTCCGAGGAAACACTAGCCTGCTCAGAGTGCCCCTGATCTTGGCTATGACCAAAAGCATCGAAAACCATTTCACGATATTCGTTGGACCGCCGTTCAGGAGCTCCCGAAAACCCTTCCCCGTGACACATCCACTGATAGTAGTTAGGTATGAAACCCTTGCGGTACGGATGAATTTTAACCATATCCGCATTCCAAAGCCGTTTGTTCTTACATTTAACACATGGACACCTAACTTCATTCAGGTTACTACTCTGAGGATGATCTGTGACGTACTCAATGAATTCATCAACCCCTTTCACGAACTCCGGATTAATACTTTGCCCAACCTTCATTTCATACATCCACCTACGTTCTCTTAGTTTCATGATTACAACTTCTACACAACTCACACATATGTACAATCACATTAGTCATAAACCGTATAGTCATTATCCACCAAAGCTTTATGGAAATGCAAATGAGATTTGAAATGCTTCCAAAGGGTCCTTATCACTCCAACCTAACCCATCCTTGTACGTTTAATCTCACTAGTGAATGTAAGCCAGGTTTTCAACTCTATAGAAAAACCGCCAGCATTTCCCTATAGTTCTCCAAGTACACGATGTAGGCGATTAAACACACCTACATATGTACCTAGAGAACACTGTAGAGAAATGAAAAGGCAGGATTTTCCCTAGAATAAAAAACAAGGCTTACATTC